GGGGGGGGGGGGTTCAAGTCTGCACACCTTGCATCAGCTAAAGAATAGAATTCGTGAACATTACAGATAATGTGGAGTCTCTTGAGAAATACACAATTATTTAATGGACAAAAGCACCAATAAATTGATAAAAATTGTACATACATCATCAAATTTTCATGTTATTAAAATAAAAAAAAAGAGTTAAATATAGAATAAAACAAACTAATATCTCTTGAATAATACATATCACTGTAAAAAAATTTGTATTAACCATCTCACTTGTACAACTTTTTTTTGTTCCTTTTCAGGTAGTTTAGTTATTATTACTGAACAGAAAGATTTACATTTTTTATACTACAGACTATTCCCACCTTGCATTTTAATATAGAAGATGTTTCAAATTCTGCATTGCTTGTGTTTGTCTGATAACATAGGAATTGTTCTGAATTTTTTGCTTGTGTTTGTTCTGATAACATGGGAATTTTTCTGAATTTTTTGCTTGTGTTTGTTCTCATAACATGGGAATTTTTCTGAATTTTTTGCTTGTGTTTAGTAAAATTTTGTTTTTGGTAAGGATATGGTGTTTGGAAAAAGTGATGACTGGTAAGTTAATGTGGGTAACATGTGCATTGTAGCCAAGTTACCTTTATACCTCCATTGTCATGATTTAGAGTTGGGTGGAATTTCTTGATGTATTTTGACTCTTTGATTTTTCAATGTTGAGCTTTGTTCAGGATTCTAATGTTATTCTAGTTGATGATTTGATGATGAGAGAAAATAAAAATCAGCTTGAATGGGTAATGAAGGAAACTTTATTATAAATGTACAATGTTTTGACAAGATTATGTCATCATCAGGTACAAGTAATTTATATAGATACAAGAATATATATATACAGTATGGAACAAAGAGGTCAAATGACCAGAAATTGCTTAATAGCTTAGTTTGTTTTAGAGTTGAGTTGTTTTATTCAATTAAGATAAGCTTCCTTTATTTTGCATTTGTTGATGTTTAGTTCTTTGTTTAAAATTACAGTGTTTTGTATAGTTATACTGTGTTTTTTTAAGTTGCAATGTTAGTAAACATGGGAGTTTTTTTTATATTATGTTTGGTGAATCTGGTACCAAGATACCTTTGCTAATCTGTTAGTCATGTGACCTCTCTGTTCCTTACTGTATATATATTTCTGTGTCTATGTAAGCTACTTGTACCTGATGATGACATAATATTGTCGAAACGTACATTTATAATAAAATTTTCTTCATTACCCATTCACGCCATCTTCAAGCTTTTAATTGATGATATAGTTAGAATGGTAATGATGCTCTGTGAAAGCAGATATTTTTTGGAAGGTAGTAATCTAGTGGCATTCTTTAGTATTTGTTTTGTACTAGACTTATGCTAAGAAGAGGACTGAAATCATATCTCACTAGTCCTGCTAGTTTTTATAGAAAACAGGAGAAATACCTATAACAGACTGAAGCAGCCTAGCAACCACGAGTCCATCTATGAAAATACTCTGAATGACAGATGTTTCTAGGTGATGAAACAGTATACTCAGAGGATTTCCACTTAGTAGGGTCCTACTGACTCTGTCTCTAGTTGGCTATCACATTATCCCCAAAACAGACAAAGATGAAGATTTCCAGACAAAAAAACCTTACCAAGCTGTCCAAGCCACAAAACAAATGGAAATGTCATACATTCCCTCTTGGTCACCATATCAGACAAAAACAGCAGCAGAGTATCCCAAAACCTTAACAGTTGAAACTGGTCATAAACCACTAGTGATGTCCAGGTTTGTGAAGGGTTTCACACTGTAGAAAACCACCAAATGACTAGAATAGAAGTATTACAACTTATCTAGAACTAGATGATGTTTGTTTTAAACACAGTTCATTTATTACTGTTAAAAATCCCACATACACTCCAAGGTTGGTCTAAATTTCAAGACTATCAGTATATGAAATATCAATTCAAACAAGGGTTCAGTTTATTGGTGATTAAAATTTAGAACATATGAAGGATTGATCAACTCTAGAACACTGCCACACTAACTAGGCACAATAAAATTCAAGATAAGTCAACAAAAAAAAGGTACAAAAAACACAGAAAACTAACTAACTAATAAGGAAAAAGAAGCCCAAGAAATCTAAGAAAGCAAGAAAGGTTGTGACAATGCCCACATTTTATGACAGACATACAGTCTACAGATGTTTATAAACGTAACAGCTTTGTCATATTACAATTCACTTAGCACCTCTTAATGGCAATGACTAATTTAGCAAATGATGTGTTGTGCTATTTAAAACTCACAGACCAGGAAAAATGGACTCAGGTGGTTAAGGCCTTACAAAGGAATGATGAGAAATTGGGGATAAAAAAAGACATTTATTGCTTGAGGTATTTTCTCATCTGCATTTTGCTGAAATAAAATAAACAAGAGAAACCTTACAACACAACCAAAACTGTAGCATTTTATCACCATATATGTTTGAAAGAACCTTCCATAAAATTGTGTTCCTTGGTGCCTAATTGTAAAAAAAAAAGATATGACAAAGAACCAAATGACCTAATTGAAGAAACCAGCAACCACAAATTAGATACTCTTTCAGCCATAAAGAAGAAATAAGAAATTTCCCACATAATTGGTCACTACAAGAAATAAACTAAATAAACCCTAAAGAGAAAGAGGAAGTATACACAAGTTAGCCAATCAGCAACAGATAATAGCTACTAAATTGGAATAATAAATGCTCTGTATACAGTGCAACTGACCTGAATGCCATGGCAGAAATTCTGTGAAGTTGAGCCAACCTGGAGGAACATATAGAAATTAAAGTTCAGGTTCATCAAAATAATAAGGGAGTGTTCCTCTTTTGGGTACCATAGAATAAATTATGCTAATCCAACATCAAGAAAGATTAATAATTCAATCTGTGGATTTTAAACTGCATTGAGAGTGCTCTAAAGAAATTTCTAAGATCATCTTCTCATTTAAAGAATATAATGTTGGAGAATTCAGAGGTACATAAGCTGAACACACATTCTGGTGAGTAAATGTACACATGTGTATTTGTCTAAACTATACAACTGTGTTTATATTTGTCCTTTCTTCTATTTATCTTATAGAAAATAAGAAACATAATTGAAGTTATAATTTTCCTTTACTGAAAATGTATTTCCGATAGCTCACAAGATTAGATATTCTCATTCGGTGCTGCCCTCTATATGCAAACTTCTTCTTTACGCATGCCACAAGCCTCCTGCTCCTCCTCTATTGGAATTGCTATGTTCTAACAGTCTGTCATGCAAATCATCATGAGTTACCTCCTAACCAATAGGAGCATGATATGATCATGTGACTCCCTCAACACTCTTCTATTGATCTATCACTTCAAAGTGTGGCAGAAGATGTCAGCACCAGAGAAAAGTGGGGAGGAAGGGTGGGAAGTATAGGAAAATAATAACTTTCGATACAGTACTTACTTCCTCTCACAAGATTAGATAGAATAGGAGGAGGGACCAGTGCACGGGAATGACAGAAGTACCCTCCGAAAGCATCTGAAGGATACCCCTGAAAATGAGAGATACAGATCTGAAGATCAGAAGAGGGGAACTGCACCACTTCTGAGCCAAGTATACTCTTCGCCCATAAGTGGAATGTGTAAGATATAAGGGTGGAAAATGAGAGGAGCACATTCAAGTGAGAGAGAATGTGATAGGAAAGTGATCCTATCCAGAGAAAGATATTGTAACTCAATCCCACAAGAGAAAAGTGGGTAAACATTGATGTGCCCCTGGGTGTAGAGTGGCTAGGGTATGGTGGAATGTACTTGGTAAGTCAATTACATCCAAAACTTCCTTGCGGGGTACCACACTGTCTTAACCTCAAAACCAAAAACTGGGGATTAAGACCCACACTGATTCTCGAGTTTGACATGAAGATTAGCTCTGAGCTATCAATCCGGGAAATTGGCATCCGGTATTGAAAGGATGTATATCGCATGGAATCAACTCCCCCAACTGCCATACAAGTTGGGACCATCCAATGGCAATAACATCCCCGTATGAAGAGAACGGGGGATAAAACCATAACAATCTCACGTACTACCACACAGACAGAGGAAATTGAGGGAGAAAGATAGACAACCCAAACACGTGTGAGGACTTATGTTGATTGGTTCACTCTAATCCGAAATCTCTTTGCAGTGTACTGACATCCATGCGAGGGTAGGATGAGGGCTCTCAATCAAAGGGATGAACTGCATACTGATGTCTCACTCTGCTGCATTGGTTATTATAAATAGGAGGATATTACATCATCTACACCTTCAGAACACCACCTCCCTACTCTGTTACTGAATGGTTATTGTGTGGAACTCATTCAGCAGGGTTCCTCCATGGTCAACCACCCCAGTGGCTTGGAATTGGACAGTGGCAAGGACTTCCAAACTCCACTCAAAGAAAGGAAGGTGACAATGTGGTGGAGAGTTCGGAGGAACGTCACCACTGGAGACAGTGCAACAAGTGACCACAAAACCTTATTTTGAAAAACAGACCATACCGAGTTATTCACTCCAGGCATGGCAGTCCACAGTTGGTACAGTCTGGGACAGGCATGTTTATGAAGCCAAATATCATGAGGTTATTCATCGTCAAGCAATCTTGTGGAACACCCCATCTCCACGGTGAGTGTGTGAAGCCAGGGAAGATAAAGCTTGAGTCAACACAGTGCATATTTAAAGTTAAAGAATATCTGGTTGGCACCACTCACCACAAAGTGAAATCCATGTGATAGAAAAGTAGATAAAGGCCCCTGAAAGAAAGAATGAACAAAAAAAAACTTACCAGTTAGAGTTGCATTAAAGTCTGAAGAAAGGCCATAGGTGGTAAACAAAAACCTGATGAAGAGGAAACCATGATATGATGGAGATAGTGGGAGATGAACATATTGGGAGTGGTTCACATGCCAGATTGCAGAATCTCCACCACCAGATGATGAACAAGAGAAGCAAGATAAAAAGTGAAGTGTCAGATCTGATGGGAGAAGGTAGGGAAGAATAGGCCAATCAAACCAAAAGGCAAACCCAATTGGTAAGAGTAGAAGGTAAAAGGTCATGAAGGGAGGAGGATTGTCAGAGGATAAAGAGTTGAGAATGCATACCTCAGAAGGTAGAAGTACAGGCTATATAGCAACAAAGAGCCCTGACTGGACAGAGATGCCTATCTGGATCTGGATCGAAGGTACAGATGGGAAATAGAAGGAAGGGAAACAGGAGAAAAGGAAGAACCACCCTCCCGAGCTTTAGGAGAAAGGAATGATCTGGATGAAGGAGAAGATAGGTATGGTGATAAAGAATACGTGAAACATCAATGGCAAACAAATCTGACCTTCAACATCCACAGGCTAAGAGAAGAAGGAAATATGTTTTAAGGGAAAAGTGAAATATTGAACATGAGGAAAGTGCTTCAAACAGAGGTTAAGTAAAGGAATGTAGGAGCACATTAATGTCCCAATCTGGAAGGGCGGGATGCCTGGGAGGGCAATGTATTCGGAAGGAATGCACGAGCATGGTAAGAACAGGGGAAGTAAAAATCTTATGGTATTGGGAATGAAAGATATGAGATAAGGCTGCCTGATATTTCCAAAAAGCAAGGAGACTGAAGACCTACGTTGAAAAGCCAGGTGAGAAATTCTGACACATGAACCATGGTAGGCTTTTCAGCAGGAAAACCCCTGGCAGTATACCAACTGCGGAATACCTTCCACTTGCGATGGTACACCTCAAGATTGAAGATGGAACTAGCTAATAAGGAAGTGACTCGACGTGTGAAACCAGATCATCTCACCAAGGACAGGACAAAAGCCAGACATGAAGATGCAGAATATAAAGGTTAGGATGTAGGAGGTTAACAAAGAGAAGAGGAAGAAAGTGCAAGAGGGACTGGGGAGAGAGGAGCAGTCGTTGTAACCTTGGAAAACAATGCTGAGCTGGCCAATAGAAATCAGTAGGACTCAAAAAGAACTGGAGTGGACAGGAGAAATCACCTGATAAAGTAATTAAATGGGTGGGTACACATAAAGATACTTGTGTGACCAATCCTGGTGAGAGCTGATCCCTGTTTGGAATGAGCCAGAAGAAGCCAGTCATCCATGTAAAAATGAAATCACAGCCCCAGAGCATGGAGATGAGGTGCAACAACCTGGACTATTCAACAAAACACGTAAGGTGCTGAGGCAAGTCTGATGGGGAGGGCCTGAAACTGGTAAACCACCCCGAGATGTTTATAAACACATCACCGTCATCATATACAGATCACATTTGTTAAAGTACTAGTATACCACAATCCTAATTTTTTCAAATCTAAATATCATATAAGTTTAATTAAGTTTGTAATTACTGTAAAACCAAAGGTGTTCATTATCACTGTTCTAACAGACTCTTACTACTCACCATTAGATTACACCACTCACATCGAATACCAGAGAGACATTCAGCTGACCAACATGTTTTCTTACAGAAATGGCACTTAGAGTTTCCTGGTAAGTTTCCTTCCCTCCAGTGATGAAACTGGGTTACAGAAGGCTGACAAAATCAAGCAAAACAAATCATTATTATCTGTAAATCAATACAGTATTTTTTTAATTCTTTAGTAACTATATTTTTATATATATTATAATTTCAAATTATTTACATAAATTGCTCTTTGTGATAATGATAAAATATAGCATCGTTTTGTAATATATATATATCCATTATTTTTTTAAATTATGTTTTGCAAGTTTGATTGGTAAGTGTAGCCATGTAATTCATAGATGGGGTGGAGTATGTTATATTAAAGCAATTTTGGAGCCATGTTAGGTTACACTATATTTGATCACTATGCACCTTGACAATAGCGCTGCAGCATAGTTTCATTGCTAAAGGCTTTGTCATAAAGTTGTCATGTCCAAAGTACACCACTCCTCCTTGCTTGGTTTCCATAAGCAATCTAGTGTATGAAGACAATGGTTTCATAGCAATCATTTCAACAATACATTCACACAGAAATCCAAAGCAGCTAAATTCAGCAACTATATCAGTATGTCTTCATATGCAATAGCATAAATATCCATTTCATTCTCCAACTGCTTGAGGTATGCAATGGCTGAACAGATATGTCAAGTACTGTCAAAATGTAGATCTGATACATTCAGTTCCATCATGACTTTATATTGGCTATGGTTAATTATCACATAATTTGTTGATTTGCATATATAAAACAGTTTTAATATAACATACTCAATCCTCTGTATTCTGTAAGCTTAGACTTAAATTATCAATATTATTGTAACAAATAATGTCGAAATACACTCAAAACTGTGACTTTAATGTCATACATTCATAAGTAATTACATAGACAAAGTGAGACGTAATACAGTAGTAAAGAATTAATGGCACATCAATAAGGCTTTAAGTCATTATTTAGTGAGTTTACTGTGCAGTGTTTCAATGAATTATTTGCTTACATTCCATACTCTGGTCACACTTAATTTAAATCTGTACATGCAGTTGTAACAGATTTACTGCTTTTGGTGCCCATGTAAATATAAATGTCAGCCCATTGTTATAACATTTTGGAGCAACTGTGCAAGTTATTATTCCACATTTAAACTGTTTTATCCCAGCGCATCATCTTAAAAATATATTTCTTATAAAATGTCTGCAAGACACTGTATTTCTTAGTGAAAGTCCATTATATAAATAATGCAGGTACATTTAGAAAAGTATCTTCCTAAAAACAAAACTAACAATTTATGAGTGATACAAAATGAATGAATGACATTAAATATTGCCTACATATTTGTGAGTCTGACTTTTCTATTTCAATATCTCCTAAATTTTGCTTTGGAATATTTCTGCCATGTTAATTCAACTACATTAAAAATGTATATTTCATATGAAATTAGCTAATAACAAACTGTTTAACCAAATGAAATTAGTTTTAAATTATAACTACCATTTAACTATGTATTGTGTAATTTACAAAATATGTGTTCTTGTGAGATAAAGATGGCTGTTTTAAAGTACTAACATACACACTGAAATAATATTTCTGCAACAAAGTAGGTGTTGAGATAAGCTCCTAATGTAGAAACACTTCTATTAAATAACATTAGAACATCTGATGTGTACTTACAAGATTTCTACTAGTTGGGTAAGTGGCACATTCTTTACAGTTGGCTACACTGAAGTCATGACACTCTACATGAACACTGTATTCACAAACTAAAAAAAGGGACATAACCACTGAGCATAATATACATAGCATCATAAGTAAACAACATTTTATATAATCTTTATAACTGTACACTGCAATATGTCAATGATGTCATGTATGTCACAGAAAGGAGGAATACTCTCATTTATGACAAACCATTGTAAGTGAAATTTAAGTATTAAATTAAGATTAATTAGAATGGGCACAGAACAATTGGAAATTTTAAAAAGTAGTTATATGTGGTATTACAACTAACTATTGCTGGGAAAGTGAGTAAAGCCTAAACTTCCTGTTTTAGTTGCATAAATGATGCCTTTGCTAAATAAGTTTTCAAAGCTAACATAACTTCCTAAATGAATATCATAAGTTCTTTTTTCCGTAGAACTTTATATTTTATCTGTTATTTTCCCTACCCTAGCACCGTAAATGTTTTCAGTACATTTGATCAATCTTGTAAACACCACTTAAAAATACAATGACTGCATATTGTAGCAGGCAATTATAGTTATTTATCCTAAATTCTTAAATCTTCCAGCCTTTTGACAACTGCTTTTATTAAATTTTATTGTTTTGTTGCTCTTTGAACCATGTCTAACTACTAAAGTAGCATAACAATGCAACAAAGCACCCAGATAAAGGATAGTGTAAGTTGTAGTAAACAAAGTATTGAATTACATCACACATTAGCAGCTCAAGTACATTGCTCATGGAGAAAATATATATATTTCTTCTTTTTCATTTAAATTTTCTTATGTACCCTATAAGTTTCTAATTTGTAAATTTTAGTTACTTTTATAACAATAAATGAAAAAATATACATACAAAACAAAAATTTAGTAATTACATGTGGGTCTTTTTTTTGCAGTCTCAATAAAAATTAATCTTAATGTTTGATACAGTTGTTGTTAGTACTTTACTAATTTTTATTTATTTCAAATATTCAATCTAGAACACAAAATAATAACACAGACAAAGAATATAATGATCTAAAACTATTATAATTTAACTGGCTCTCTAATTAAGCTAAAAGTAATATAAAATAATTTCTCTGGCCAATTGAGGTGACTCAGCGAAAGCAAAGAATGAAACTGTACACAAAACCTGTCATCTGAATGAGCTAGTCTCATAAGGAATTCAGTAAATTAAAATCTTCTCTTCTTATTGGTTATAAACAATCAATAGCAAATATCAGAGAGAATTATTGACATTTTTTGAAAGACAAGATGTGATAGGAAGGTTTGACATGTGGGTTTGATTTACTGGTTTATATCTCAGTAAAGAAAAAGATTGGAGGCTATAAATTTACATTATGTCTTAGAAATATCTATAACAATGTAATTTGTATTACACTCAAAAGCTCAAATATAGGTGGAAAGAATATCTAAAATGGGCAACTTAGAGAAAGGAAGAGACACATGATACAGATAAGTGAAGATTGAAAATCTATTTAAATATTTCCTTTTGAAACTAAGAAATCAAAACTTGAATAATATAAAAATCTGAATTGAAAAATATTTTGATGCCATGTTTATTAACAGCCACTGATAATAAAGTAGTTCTCTGGCAATAAAAGTAGAAAAAAAATAACCGTTACTCTCCAGATAATGATAAACAACTTTATTTCAGCCAACATTTCACCATTGCAGCTTCATCACGGCTAGCAGTACAACAAAGTAAAGTAGCAACATTTAAGTTTTGAATGTAACTCTGTAAAAAGGTAATGATATGCACACTTTGACCTACCCAAGTTTAGAGGGTTATATAAATTGCTTTATCTTAAAAGTTACTGGCTTCATAATTCAACAGACACAAATGGAAAAAAAAAATATATGGTAGAAAAACATGTCTATTTTTCAAAATTAACACAAATTTACACGCTTGGAACATTTAATAATTCTTTGTTGGAATTCTTTACATATAAGATGTATCTATTTTTCTCTGCTTTCTGTGTAAACTGTGATATAAAATCAGTTCAGTGCATTTTTTTTTCCATCTGCACCATCTTTGCATGTTTTAATTAATGGAGAAATACATGCCTTAAGTAAATGACTTTTTGATAAAGGTGTAACTACCACTGAGTATTAATATAATTTTCCACCCTTTAATCTAAAATTATCATTATCCAATAGTATAAAAACAACAAATTAAATGGTGAACGTGTGATTGATTTATAAACTTTCTTTACATCAGTCCTCAATTGTCTCTTAAGTTTATTGTTGGATTTACAATTTAGCTTCACACCATAAGTATTCTGTATATTTGCTACATTTGCAATTGATCAGCAAGCCAACAAAAAAGAAGAAAAACTCAGGCCATCCTAAATAAATACAACATTTAACATCAGGTTCTAAACTGAACAGCTTTGATGGAGGGGTGAAATGAAAAACAAAAAAAACGTTAATGACAAAATAACAAAAAAAGTCATCTAACTTGCGTATATATATATATATATATAAACTGAAATAATGACAAAAAGTTCTTCACTTATCTAAAACATTATCATGTGACAAATGAAGAAAAAAAAAATTCAACAATATTAAACAAAGTAAATCACAAAAAGGGGAGAGAGAGAGAAGGATGCGTACACTCTTCATTTTTGTGGCTTGTGAACAATACAAAGCCTAGGTTTACATTTGTTGAGAAGCTACCATCCCTTGAAAATATAATTTTCCATGTTTTGTTTCTCATGTGATTTTCCCTCTCTTTAATTTTCATTATTTTATAATGTCATGACATGTGACATGGATACTAGTAATTAAGCTTAGCATTGGAGGCAAAGATTAACTACTACTGGACAGAGCAGATTATAAACTATTTGCATCAATGTCAAATATTAGGTCATCAAGATATTAATGCCACGTTTTGGAACACTTTCATTAACCACCCCCCAAAAAATGTACATCATGTATAATAGTTAAACAAACCACCTAAGCATCATGTTAGTGGAGCCTATATAATGTGTAAAGTTTAGTATACTCTAATTCCTTATAGTGATGGTATACGACGAGACACATTCGGCATTTAATGCTGTTTAAATACAAGAAGGGAAACAATCCCTCTGTAGCCACAAAGCATATCAAAGAAGTTTGTGGAAATGTTTTGAATGTTTGTAAGTGTCAACAATGGTTCAGCAAATTTCGTTCAGGGGACTTTAGCCTTAAAGACTGTGATGGCAGGGGCCAACATGTTGGAATTGATATTGATGCTCTGAAGACACTTGTTGAGTCAAACCCAAGGCAACACACTCATGAAATGGCCCTGAAATTGCATGTCTCTCATGAAACAATAGGTAAACATTTTAGGAATATGGGAAAACTACACAAAGAAGGTGTTTGGGTGCCTTACGAACTCTCCAATGATCACCGTTTCCAACGTGTGAATGTTGCTTCATCTCTTCTGGCACGTAATACGTGTGAACCATTTTTGGACAGAATTGTCACCGGTGATGAAAAATGGATTCTTTATGCAAATATTAAATGCCAAAAACAATGGCTCAGTCCTAGACAAAAACTACTTCTGACCCTAAAACCTAGACTCCATCCGCAGAAAGTGATGCTTTGCATTTGGTGGGACATCAAAGGAGTGATTAATTTTGAACTCCTCAATCAACAGTGAACTGTGAATGCAGAGATCTACAGTCAGCAACTGGAACATTTAAAACAAACTTCTTCTCCATGACAATGCGCATCCACATGTGGCACGTTTGACGCAACACAAGATTATGGAGTTGGGTTGGAATGTACGCAAATATGGAAGGTGTTAAAGAGGACATCAACATGTTTTTTGCTTCAAAGCCAAGTGATTTCTTTAATCAGGGCATTAACAACCTGGTTTAAGATTGAAAAGCATCATTGATAAGAATGGAGACTATTTCATTTAATAAATGTTTTGTTTTGATGTAAAAGTTGTTCGGGTTTATCTAAAAAAGCGACATTAGTTTCTTGATGACCTAATAAATAAAAGTGAGATGAACAGTAACTTATGGTTTTGTGGGAAAGTGACAACATAGAGATCCTTTTTAAAGAAACAAGAGAAACTCATGAGAACTTGAGAAAATTCAGGCAAAATAAAGTATCAAAAGAAACGATTTAATGATTATCAACTAAGTTGAAAATTACTGCTGAATATAAAGTTATAATTTTCCTACACTGAAAATGTATTTCCGATAGGCTTAACTCCATTCACATAAATAGCTATTCTCGTTCAGTGATGCCCTCTATATGCAAACAAATTTTTTACACATGCCACAAGCCTTCTATCTCCAGTTCATTGGAATTGACTGATTCCACTACATCTTTCATGCAAATCATCATGTGTCAACCTCCACCAATAAGAGTGTGATATACTCTCATGATGCTTGTGACTCCCTCTATTCAATTCTACCAAACTATCACTTTGAGTTCTGGCAGACGATGGAAGCACCAGTTTTCAGTGGGGAGGAAGGGTGGGAAGTGTGAAGAGAGGTAAGTACCTATCAGAAATACATTTTCAGTGCAGGAAAATTACAACTACTGATATGGTACATTACCTCCACTCAAATAAATAGCTAGAATACCACATTAAATAGGTGGAGGGACCGGTGCAAGGGAAAGAAAAAGCATCCTTCAGAAGCAGCCAAAGAATACCCTAAAAGGGGAGATCCTCGTTGTAAAGTATTCTATGTTGGTGAACACCACTTTTGTACCAGGTATACTTCACTCCCAGTGTAGAAAGAGGTGACACAGATATGGGTGGTAAAAAAGGAGGAGCACATCAAAAAAGGAGAGAACATGGATTGGACAGGGATCCAACCTATCCAATATCTGAATCTCAATCCCAAAGATGACAGTAATATGGGTGAGAGTAAGGTGTAGAGTGGCAAGTCAACTGCATCCAAAACCCAGCCACTGGGAACTGACATCTGCGGAGATAGAATGAAGATCTTACGATTGGTAAGTCAGTTACAATCCAAACCCCAACCATCTGATGAGGATAGAAAAGAGGATCATTCCATCTTCACCTCAAGTTC